TAACGCAAAGGAGGAGCGTATCCTAGCAACACTCACGTGGCGGCTCTGCCCACTTTGACGCCGCTACGTCATCGCAAACTTTACACCCGTCACCCGTTTCAGCGACGTCCGGAGCCAACCACCGACGAGCGGAAGTAGCTACGCATTCCCTGAGGTGTCCCTACGCGCGGGATACGGGGTAGGATTTACTACGACGCGGGGAGCAGTTCCTGCGTTTAGCGAAGGAACGGCAACCAATCCTGTGCGTCGCTGGCCGTCGCATCTGTTCTAGTACAGGTAAAAGTATTGAAAAACAATCAAAACCTTTTGGGCGTTGTTAAAACAAACCGCTTTTTTGTACCCTTTTGCAATAAATTTAAGAATTAATTGGAGAGAAAGTTGTTCCAATATTATGCGGGATGTGCGCTACGCGCCTTCTTCAAACCAAAATGTCGAACCACGAGGAGCCGGGTGTGCCGGGGGCAGCGGAGGGGTCGGTGGAACCAACGAGGAGCGCGCGAGTGACGGCTGCTTTAGTCAGAAACAATTTTTTTTATCTTTCGAGAACTTGCTATTGCTGTGCTCAAATAAGAATGTTTGGCGCAACATCTGTGATAATTCTTTCAAAGTGGTCCAGTGTTTATATGGTGGTATGCTAGTCAGAGAATATATATATACATTTTCCTTTCGAAATTTAACTATTGTGCTCAAATAAGACCAGAGTGTTCAACAAGATATATGTGATATATACTTAAGATTGCCCAATTGCTTACACGGTTCCAGTCGATGCTCAGTTTTACTTCCAAGAATGAAATATTACATTCCATGTTATCACACTTTTATTCATGAAGTCACAGGTTTTTCTTTAAGAAATAAAGCAATTTTCAAAACAAACTACATGTGCACTGTCTTGAGATAACACAATCACCTAACTTTGATGAAGTACCATAAAAGAGATAATAAAATGGAGCAGAAGGCAAGACGCTTTGAAGCATTTGTAAAATGAAACAATGTCCATGACAACAATATCCCTGGTTCAATCAGCAACTAAGAAAGCAATCTCTGCAAAAGCAAGCATTTCTTTCTAGAGGTAGTCTAAATTACTTCCGAGTTCTTTGCAGGGGCAATTCAGATGACCTGTTGGACTGGCAACTAAACCTCCGAACCTTTTCTGTCACTGTCGACTGCGTCTCCTGCCTTCTGCTCATAAAAATAAAAAAAAAGGCTGTATCGATTTCACCGCGATGCACTCGACACGTATCCGGAGGCAGCACGCTGGCTGTGCGACGAACTTCACAAGGTGTAGGAGCTGAAGAGAGTATGTAGCTTGTGGACGGCCATGACTGTGGAGCAGGAAGCGAAGTGTGCACTTTACGGCTTCCACGGGGAGGGCTTCACTGAGGGCAAGAATGTGACGGGGTCCTTGGTGGTCAGGACCTCAGTCGTGGTGGCGAGAGGTTCCCTGTCGCTGGCGGCGTCCGTGCTGGGCACCACCGCAGCGAGGGCGCTGAGGGGCTTCCCGACGGAGTCCCTGGTGGTCGGGACTACCGTCGTGGCGGCGGACCCCTTGCGTGTGGCGCTCCGCACGGGCACCTCTGCGGCGGGTTCCGAACCGGGCGACAAGGCGCTGCCTCAGAGCCTTCCGCCTGTCCGAGAGGCCGACCGGAAGGCCGACCGGAGGGCCGGCAGGAGCCAGCCTCTCGGGAGCCGACACTGACCTCTCCGAGCTCGGCTCAGAACCGTCCGAGCTCGGCTCAGACTCCAACTCTGACTCTTCAGGGTCGGAGTCTGACTCCGGTTCTGGCTCGCTCGATGCAAGGCAGATGTAGTGGAGCACTGCACATGACGAAATAATGGCGGTGGCTGTTGAAGGGTGGTAATACAGAGCCCGGTGCCTTTGCAGACACCGGAATCTGTTTTTCAACAGCCCGATGCAGCGCTCCACAACAGACCTGATCGAAAAATGCGCCTTATTAAACCGGCCGCAAGCGGTGGAGGTCGCGTGGTTCCCGGGGACAGGGGTGATGAGCCAAGGCTCCAAGGGGTAGCCGCTGTCACCTGCACATGTAGAGGATGGAACATATTACATTCTTTACTTTTTAAAATAAAAGGCAAGAAAACAGCTGTGTGCAACTATGTCAATTATAATGTAACTTAAGTGTGTTAATATTTCTGCACTACAGTATCAGTTTACATTATGATTAGTTAGCACCAGCTTGCCTGCAAACTTCCTGTTATTTCATGTAACTATGTGTTTTCCTGGTGGGTTGTATGGGATGTGTGCACGATTCCTTAGGGCAGCTGTGTTGTATGCAAGTGCATTATTAGGCCCTTGTATCCGACAGATAAAAGCTCTGTTGCTTTTGGGAGTGTGGCCGTGATCTTAGGCACGGGCAGAGCAGAACACTTTGGCCTTGTCTTTGGCAAGCAAGGGGATAAGGCGCCAGTTCGACGAACCTCTTTCCTAATCCTCAGTGGAGTTGGAGATTGGAAAAAAAAAGGGGGTGGTTAGATTGGCAAGGAGTCAGGTCCTGTTGGGACACGGAGGGTCTAATAGGAGGAGCTATATAGGCAGACCGAAGAAGAAGGGTCAAGGAAAAGAATCCAGTGTGTGGGACGGAGACGACCCGACGACAGATTTGGCGAGCCCCAAGTGGCCAAGGAGGAATTGATCCCATTCCGTACAAACTGACGACCGCCAAAGCGACCACGCGAGCCCCCAGGGATCAGCGAAAAAGCTCCAACTTCATGCAAAAACCAACCAGCAAGAGGGTACAGGCAGACAGTAACAGTGAGTGGGCCGAACCGGACAGCGACTCGCACTGCGGTCGCATTCCTTGCATAGTCTATCACTGTCGTGAGATTGGTGTAGTGTGGCTTTCGTAGCCTGCAGAGTGTGAGAGTTATGTGGACATAAACAGAGATTAATGGCCAAACTTTGGGTGTTGTCTCACTTCAAGGAGTTCCAGCAACTGTGTCTGTGTGCCTCACAACAAGCACAGCACGTGTGGTACTATGGCTTTCAAGCAGTTGGAGCCACCGTGTGCGTAAGGAATGAATTAATATGCTCACCAAGCAGGAACCGACCGTCGCGTGGCACCTGCCCTTGCTCGAGTTGGTTTCGGAGCCAAGAAAATTGCCACACGAAGGAGTCGTGCACCGACCCGGGATACCGTGGGTCGATGCACATTATCCGGCAGTCGGCGCCACACACCTGAAAGTGAGAGAGATATTGACATGTAATTACCTGAATCCACAAGTAGTAGATTGTACTTATGGTTCACAAAGTTATTTTGTCTGACACATGCATGTCAACACACCTTCCTGGATGCAAGGTACAACTAACTACCTTGAAACCAAAATAATGTGTTTTTTTTTTTTTTACGGAAGCTTGCACGTTTTAACAGAGAAATATTATTTTTGGAAGAAGAGTCTTACGGCTCACATGCTACGTAGAGCACACGCTCGCGCAGTCGTGAGACCCCACAGCCCGCAGTCATAAAACGGCATACTTAAACGGTATCGGCAAAACGTTTTTTTTTTTTTCTACAGATTTGGGGCGCGTTTTGACAACGTAACATGAGTGTACTTACCACCATCGCGTTGAGGGCGTAGAAGTACTTGCGGCACCAGTACGCCGCCTTCGTGACGGTGGGGTCGTTCTTGGACGGGCCGACGATGGAGACCATGGTCCCGTCCACGCAACCGATGACGCCGGGTATCCTGCCGAGCAGCCTGAAGCCCTTCTCCGCGTCGAACCTCTCGCTCGGCGTCTCGGGGAAGTGGATCCAGCGACGCTGGACCCCGAGACGACGCACGATAGCGACGGACACGGCGCGGACCGCAACGCTGACTGTCTTTTGGTCCCGCGCTACGTGTTCGTCGCTCGCCACCATGCCTTGGAAGCTCCCCGTGCCGTAGAAGTGCAGTGCACACAACACGTGAAGCTCCACAGTCATGACCGTCCTTGAGGTACGCACTCTCCTCACCTCCGGTTCCTCGCGAAGTTCGTCGTACAACCACCGCACCACGATCTTGGGCAGGCGGTATGCTTCCAAAAGATCTCCTCCGCGAGCTCGAATGCATCGCGGTGTTCCCGATACAGCCTTTCTGGCGAAAAAAAAGCTCTATTAAAGAAAAAGACGAATTGACGAGACGGCGACGCCTCGCCGCCGAACACATGCTGCCAATGACACCTAGTTCCGAGCAAGTACCTTTTGAAACGTACTCGGTACAAAACGAAACGTCATTTTGTTGTCACGTCCGGTAGCCGGCTCCGCCCAGTTTTGCCGACTCCGCCCACATTTTTCTAGGGAAATTACGTCACTTTTTTTTTCAACCAATCAGACGTGATGACGTCACTTCCGTGTACTAAAAAAAGGTACATGTACAATGTCGAACCTAGCTATCCAGGTGTGTATATGAACGGCGATAGGACGTGTTTCTTCGCTGCTCCCAAATTTTCAACCTAGCGCTCGCTTCACTATCATACGGGACCCGTGCGGTTCCAGCCCTGGCCTCGGGCCACCCCCGCCCGGGTGGTGACCCATCACAACCACCACTGGATGCCTCCAGTGCCGAAATAACCACCATAAACCAGCAGCAGCAGCCACCCCGAGCCCACTGCACCTATAATGACAGAAGACTGGAAGGGACCTCGCACCCGCCGCACGTAAGCCTTCCACCATCCTGTGGACAACCACAGAGGTTATCACCATCGGTTATGGAGCATACCCTTAATGTTCTTGCGACTATAATTGAGAAGAACCCGGCATTTCTTGTGGCACTGAACCAGCTTGTCGCGCAATTCATGCCACCTCCGCAACCTGAGAGCAGCCCACCTCCACAGACGCGGCAACATATCCCACGATTGCGATGTTCATCGAGAAGCAGAAATGAAAGGTCCCGCTCTCCTAGATCAGCGCCTGGACAAAACGACACGATGCCTACTCAAGGTCACCGGCAAATCCAAGATGGCGACCATTCCACTCCGGCCCACCTGCCCGCACAAGATGGCGGCTGGCCCTCGCAAGGAACGCCCCAAGACAGCACGTCGGGGAGTAATGGCGGCTCATCTACAAAACACGGGATGGAACAGCCCGGCCTGCGGAATGCTGAAGATATAGACTTTGAAGAATGGCCACTCCTGGGTGCAACACCTAAGAAAAGAAGGTGGAATCCATTAGCTACAGAAACCGCGGGAAGGTCAACACCCACCTCACATCCGACGCAGACTGTCGTGCTGCGCTCCATTGGAAAGAAAGAGGTGAACTCTTTCACTGGAAAAGAAATACAAGAAGCAGTCAAGAAGGCTAGAATACAAAATCTAGACGGCTATGCCGTCCATCGCAAGGAAAAAGCGAACACAATCGCCATTACAACACGGGACCCTCTCATGCTGGAGAAACTTCTGCAAGTGAAAGAAATAAGGAAAGGCGAGGATACACACGCACTACAGCCGTACAAAGCTTTGGCGGGAAACCAATGCCGGGGAGTTTTTTACCTCCTGGGCCAAGGAAACACGGTGACGCCTGAATCACTACAGGCCGACATCACCTGCAAGGGTCGAAAAATCGCATCAGCGAGGCCCATTGGGACAAAAGGCAACACCGTTCTAGTGACATTCGAAGGCAAGATTCTTCCGAAGAAAGTGACCTACATGTGTGAGGTCCTACATGTCCGCGAGTATCGCCCGCGTCCGTTGGTGTGTTTTCGTTGTCACACAATCGGACACAAAATGGATGTATGCCCACAAAGCGCTGCGCGCTGTGGAACGTGCGGCTCTGAGCACGATGCTATGGAAACATGCTCGCGGAGCCCACAGTGCGTGAATTGCAGCAGGGCTCACCTGGCCACGAGCAATGACTGCCCGAAAAGAGCAATCCCAGACCGGCGCAACAAGCGGCCAAGGGCCAGACAAGAACAAGGAAAGGGTAAGCTCCCGCCTCCCGAAGCACATATGGCACCACCGAAGCTGCAAAGTGGTGGGACATCGTATGCAGCGGTAACCGCAGCAACTTCCGAGCCAGTAGCAATACCTGCTCACCAACTGGAACAACACGACATCACGCTACAAACCTTGCAAGCTCAGCAAGCAAGTTTTGCACGAATGGAGAAAAAATTGGCCGCGCTCACGGCGGCAATACACAGGCTCATTGACACACATAATGATAAATATTAATACACAAAACATATCCGGAACCACTCCAAAAACACCATCCTCACGTACACAGAACAAACGCTGCTCAAACACTTCACCGTGGATCCTACAATGGAACTGTGGAGGGTTGCAACAAAAGCTACCAGAACTTAAAGTTCGTCTGCAAAAACTTAAAAACCGCGCACCCGACATTATCCTCCTTCAGGAAGCTAATGTCAATAAAATCAGAGTACGGGGATACAAAACATTCATATATCCAAGTATTCAGAGACAAACAAATAACTACGGCATCGTAGCCACACTAATTAAGAAAACACATCCACACACGCAATTAGATTCCGAGTCGGCGTGTTCAGGCGACCGTGAGGTCGTCTCTACACAGGTCAAGCTCGGGGACACTGTAATTACAATCCACAACATATACACACGGCCGTCCGTGGGCCCCAACGAGGCCGATTGGATCGAGGGACTCGTAACACCTGGACAACATACCATCCTGGCCGGTGATTTCAATGCTCGTCACACTGCGTGGGGGTACCCAGAAGAGAACGCCCGCGGAAGGAACATCAAGAAAGCCTGTGCCACAGCCAAGCTCAAGCTATGCAACAACCCCTGCGTTCCCACCCGGTTGGCCCAGTCCACCAGCCAAAATGACACGTCACCCGACCTAACGTGGGCATCCCCGAGATTGAGACTTCAATGGCAGGTCCAGTCAGATCCCATGGGTAGCGACCACCTGCCCATTTGTCTCAAACTCGGCATCCGTACTTCCCCGAGACGGCGAGTAACCCTCACCAAATGGGAGAACTACCGCACGGCGATGAGCCGGCACAGTGACATTCCATTCACCGAGAGAATTCAGCGCGCCTTGAAAGAAGCACGCACGGAATACCAGGTGAAAGAAGACACTCCTCAGCCAGATCTTCACCTGACCAACCCATGGGACAACCGTTTAGCCGCCCTCCAGCACTACAGAGTCCGACGGTCACTGACCAACAAGATCCGCCTCAATCAAGCTACAGCCGAAGCTAAGAAGTACACGATAGAGCTCTGCCGAACAACATGGCGTGGCCTGTGTGACTCTTTCAACTACAGAACGGGCTACTACAAAGTATGGCACGCATAAAAAGGCCTTTCCGGGAAAACGAAAACACGAAACACGGGAAGCAACCTCGCCCTCCGCCTCAAAATAAGCGAAGAACGACTGGCAGATGAAGCGGGAGAACATTTTTTCCCACAGCAACCCAACCCTCCGCCAACCGAAACTTACACTCGACAGCCTATCTTGCACGAACAGCCATCAGACGCACCGTTTACTCTTGCGGAGCTTGTTGACGCTCTTAGCTCGGCGAACGCGAAGTCCGCGCCTGGCCCAGAGAAAATCACCGTTACGGCGCTCCGGAACCTTCCCACAGACGCCATGGAAGAACTCTTAGAAACTTTTAACAAGATATGGTCCGAAGGGGAAATTCCCGCTGATCGGAAGCGATCGACCGTGATTCCCATCCCGAAGGCCGGCAAAACACCACACACGGTCGCTAACCTTAGGCCTATCTCCCTCACCTCTAATCTGTGCAAGGTCATGGAACGTATGGTCACCACTCGCCTTTCATGGATCCTCGAGACCTCCAAAGTATTCCACCCCACGCAAACTGGCTTCAGACCACACATGTCAACACAAGATAGCTTCCTCATGATACACTACCACATGTATAAGCGACGGCTATTCAAGAGTCAACCCCGCACACTTGTCGCCTTCGACCTACGGAAGGCGTTTGACTCTGTCCCCCATCATACCGTGGTAGATGCTGCTAAGAAGCTCGGGATCCAAGGACGCCTTCTGAACTTCATTAAGACGTTCCTGCAGGATCGTACCTACCAAATAATGATCGGCAACACAAAAGGAAAATGGAAGCCCAACAACGTTGGAGTACCACAGTGTGCGGTCCTGTCGCCGCTACTCTTCAATATTGTAATGACGGATCTCGCTCGAGCCCTCGATAATGTCCCACAAGTTCTGCACACCATCTACGCCGACGATATCACCCTATGGACTACGGCCGGGGGAGCTGAACAACAGCAGCACTACATGCAGCGAGTATTGAATATTGTCACCACCTTTGCCTGCACCACTGGAATGGAAATATCTAAATATAAAACTACCTACATGGTCATCCCAAGCAGGCGCAGGAAATCTAGCGTCAACATCAAACTTCATCTCGACGGAGATCCTATCACACCATCTAACAACGTGAAAATCCTGGGTGTCCCCTTTGACCAGAACGGGGGCGCCACTACATGGATTGAGCAAGTCAAAGGACAATGGAAGAAAGGTCTTGAACTCCTCAAAGCCATCTCCAGCAAGTCTTGGGGGGCACAAGCAGAACTACTACGCCGCCTAGTCCGAGCCCTGCTCGTATCCAAAGTGGTTTATGGTATCAATTATCTTCGATTAACGCGTGCACAGGAAGCGACCTTAGTTACAATGAACCGAGCAGTGATGCGAATTGTCACTGGCCTGCCCCGCTTCACCACCGTGGAACAGCTCGAACGTGCAGCGCAAATGAATACCATCCGAGAAATCGCACAAGAGATGGCCATCAGCCAGGAGCGCCGACTGGCGCGCACACCCCATGGACGAGTCATTCTCGAAAAGAGCGGGAGAAGTCATCTAGCGAAAGGCTCACTAATGCCCATCACACCTCCCCCGTGGGACACAGAGCTGGTCACCTCAATCAAACCTACTCCCAAGCACCAAGGAATCGACAACTCGGGACGTCGCGGCACACAGGTCAAAATGCATCTCGAAGAAATTGGCTCCCTCAAAGCGAACGTTGAGGTGGTTTACACCGATGCGGCTCGCGACGAGAGTGGCCGCACAGCCATCGCCTGGCATTCCACCACCAGGAAAGAAACCCAGCAACAACTAGCCGCACGCACGCGAAGCGCTTGCGCCGCAGAGCTACTCGCAATACAGATGGCAGTCCATGCATCGACGACAACACGCCAGGCAGGAATTACTGAATCTCGAATCTACACGGACTCGCAAGAAGCATTACGCGAACTTAGACGCTCAGACGCTTGCAACACCACAGTCACAAAAATTCGAACGCTGGTCCGCCAAGCGAAACCACAACAGACAATCACGGTCTCGTGGATTCCGGGCCACGCGAGCATCCCGGGGAACGAGCGGGCGGACGGGGCCGCGAGGGCGCAGCTACAAGCAGAATAATTGCCCTCAAAAGGTCTCGTCTTCTCGCCCGTTCAACGGGACGAGCAAGAGGAAGACGACTTCGACATCTTCGAAGTCAAACGAGAAGAAAGAATTGCAAGAAAGGCAAGACTCGCCGCCCTGCTGCCACATAATCCCCATCCGATCCCTCGCGGATTTCCGCGCTGGGAAAAGGTGGCTCTCCACCGTATACAAACGCTGACGATGATGACACCCGTGTGGAGAGCCAGGATACACCGTCCAGCCGACACCCAAGGTATCGGACCAAACCCGAACTGCGTGTGCTGCAAAGTCCCTGCAACGTGCCAACACTTAATGTGGGATTGTAGGGGGACCTCCCGGGAGCGGACTGCCGTCATCGCAGACCTCCCAAGCCACTTACGCCCTACCTCCTTTGAGGAATGGACCCAGCCGGCCACGACTGAGGAGGTGGAACTCAAGCTTATATACTCATCCATCATAACATTCCTCCGATCCTCCGGGGTCAGGACTTTCATTTGACATAATCACCCCATTTCCCTCTTCCCTTACCCCCGCCCACCTCGAGGCCTTATCAGCCAGAGGGCGGTTTCATTAAAGACGTGTTTAATCAAAAATTCTTTGCGGACGTCACAGTCAGCATTCGGCCAATCGTAGAAGGCCGACCACAGCGACGCTTTCGATCACTCACGTCACGTCACGTCGTAAAGACGTCGCTAATACTCGGCGTCAAATATTTTCTGCTACATCATCAAAACTGCGCATGTGGAAAGCGGCTGCATCTTTTTTTATCATCCGCGCTTCGCAACATTATTTGTGCGCCTGTTGCACGAGCGCTATTGTTAGCGCAGAACCTCAATTTCCACATGGTGTTACTAGTATTTACTAACTTAGTTGGTTTTTAAGGAGGCTCAGCAAGTTCGTGATATTCAAACCTTATTGAATACATGTCCCCATGGACGTATATAGCTCTCCTGCTTTGACCGCATTTGTATTCGCGGCGGGAAATTTGGATATCGCCGCCCGGTGTTATTTTTTCACAACCCCAATTCAGAATACTTGAACTTCCTCTGCTGGTTCAAGCACCTGTAATGCCAAGCTTACGTGCACTATGAAAATTAAAACACAACCGCGTGGGTAGCGCGTGCACTACCCATAGTGAGCCAGAGCCGTCTGAACTAAGAGTGTTTGGCCTTCTTAAGTAGATTTTGACAGTCGGGCAACCACAGCTGCGTATTCTGACAACTGGTGGAGGGCTA